CGCGGGCGCTGCGGCAAGAGGCCCCGCCCCGGAAGTCGGGCCCGCCTCGCCCGGAAGTCGGCCGCCCCGCCCCCAACCCGGAAGTGGGCGGCCCGCCGCGCGCCGCGAGGTCCCGGCTCAGCGCCCGCGGGGTCGTGTGCTCGGTAGGCGCGGGGGTCGGGGCGCCGTCGGGGCTGCGGGCGGGCTGCGGGCGGGCTGCGGGCGGGCTGCGGGCGGCGCGTGGTGGCGGGAGCGCCGGGCGCGGGGGCCCTGGCTGTGGGAGCCGCTGACGCCCGCGCCCGCCGCCGTTCGGGCACCCGGCGCCGCGCCTCGGAACCCACCGTCGGTGCGTGCGCGGAGAGCCCGGAGCCCCGCCTGCTGGGTGCCAGCCGCGTCCGCGCGCCTCGGTCCGCCGGCCGGCGGCTGCCGCTCCCCCCCGCCCCCTCCGTCCTCCCCCTCCCCCCGCCGCTCCCCCCGCCGCCTCCCTCCCCGCCCCCCCGCGCCTCCGCCGCCCGAGGCCGCTCGCAGTTCCCTTTCTGGGCGGGGGCCGCGCGCTCCGGGAGGCTGCGCCGGGGCGAGGCTCGCGTGCTGCTGGGGCCGCGGTTCCCGGAGCCCCCGGGCCGGCTCCCCCCGGGCGGGCGGTTGGACCCCAGCCGCGGTCTGCCCTCGCCCTTCCCCAGCCCGTCTGCGTCGGAGCGCTGCCCGCCCAGGCCCGGGATGTACATGCAGGTGGAGTCCCGCAGCAGCTCCTGCCTCCATCTGAAGAGGGCTCCGGGCATCAGGTCCTGGTCTTTGCTTGTTGGTAAGGATTTCCGTATTTCCCCCAAGCTAAAAACCTGACTTTAAAAACAACGGAAACGGGGATCCCGGGGTGGCTCGGCGGTTTGGCGCCTGCCTTTGGCCCAGGGCGCGATCCTGGAAACCCGGGACCGAGTCCCGCGTCGGGCTCCCGGCGCATGGAGCCTGCTTCTCCCTCTGCCTGTGTCTCTGCCTCTCTCTCTCTCTCTCTCTGTGATAAATAAATAAATCTTTAAAAAAAATAAAAAATAAAAAAATAAAAACAATGGAAACAAACCTGTCTTGTTGCCCCCAAGTACAGCAGTTATCTCGTATCTTTCTAGCTTCTATCCTCCGTGCGATTGTCCTTTTTGCACCTTCACCTTAAGGTTGTGCCTGTTCTCCTGAGGTCCCGTGTTCTCCTTTTCCTTGCCTCCCATCGCCAGGGTGCGGGTGTCAGGCTGGGCGATGGGCCCCAGTTCGCTCCCTCACTGTCCCTCCGGGCGTCCAGCACGCGGGGGCAGCTGCAGGCCGTTGGTGGGCCTGGTGTGAGGAGTGGTGTGGCCGTGCCTTCAGCAGCCTGCCTCTGGTCCGTCGTTCCCGACACCCTGCTCGTGGCCACCTGCCTGTAGTGCTTCGTGTGCCACACGCGGTCCTTGCGCACATGCTGCACTGGTGGAGTAAACAGACCCCTGCTGTCCGGCTCCTCCGTCTGGTTCGCTGGTCAGCCCTGGAGCCCCGGGTAGAGGAACAGATTCCCGGAACGCAGAATGGCATTTGCGCCTCCTGCCTCTTGCCCTCCTTCCTGAACCATGGTCTCTGGTTCTCCTGCTTCCCACCTCCAGGCATCCCTGGCACCCCCTGGCACCAGGAAGGCCTGCTCTCCCTGCACCTCTGGGCCTGTGGCTCCAGGTGAGGGGTCCCTAGGCCGCTGGTGGCCCAATAGAAGCACCTGCTTTCTTTTCTCTTCACAGGAATCTTGTCCATTGGCCTGGCTGCTGCATACTACAGTGGAGGTGAGGTGCATCCCCCTGCCTCCCTCCCCGCCCACCCCGTAACTTAGTCTTTTGAGAAATAGAGAAAAGAGAGAGAACTCGCCATTAGTGGTGCCCACTGAGCCCCTGCCTTTGGGGCCACAGGCGCCTGTGCAGGTGCTGCCCCAGCCTGAGCGCTGGTGCGTCCTTCCTAATAGCCTGTCCCGTGCCACCTGTGCTCTTCCCTTCTCGTATCTGGAGCACTTTCCCGGGTGATGAAACTTTCTTAAAAGGTGCTCTTGTATTTGCCTGAGGCTGTTGCAGGCTAAGCCACGCTTGTAGCTGCCCCTGCAGGTGCCTCCCTCCACCATCACACTGTGTCTCCAGCAGATGCTGCAGGGAGAGTGGAGGGCACAGAGCTGGCCGGACATTTCACATATGGTTCCAAGTGACAGGCAGGGCCAGCAGTGCCGGGCGGCCACCCTGGGCCAGGTCTGCTGGCCCCAGGTGCCACCCCTGCTCGGTATCAGCTGGCGAGTGGGCCCATGGCACGCAGGCCTCCGCCCGCTGCTGCTGCCCCTCACCCGCTGCCTGTTGTTTGCTCTGCAGATAGTCTGGGCTGGAAGCTCTTCTACGTCACGGGCTGCCTGTTCGTGGCCGTGCAGAACCTGGAGGACTGGGAGGTAAGGCCAGCGCAGGCGAGGGTGGGGGCGCCGTGGGAATCACCGCAGGGGGAGAGGCTCGGAGGCCTCACACACCCCCTGTCCTCAAACTTCAGCTTCGAGGTTTCTGGTTAGTGGGACTCAGCCCCTGGGCCGAGGGATCCCTCGAAGCTGTATTTCTCCTAGACGCTCTTTGCGAATGCTCTCACCGAATTCCTTGCTCCGTGGTGTTGCCATAGCACGAAGCAGATCGAGGGTGCCCTGGGTGAGGGGCCGTCTCCTTGGTGGGCCCTTCCTGAGGAACCACAGGACCCACGGTTGCTCTCTGGCCCCCACTCCCGTTTAGTGACCTCAGCTTGGGGAGAGCACCTGCTCTGATGCCCCTCTTTGTCTCCACGCCCCCCTGGCCCCGTGCTCCCGACACGTGGGAGCCCAAGAGGGTGTGGCTGTAGGTGTCTGGCTCTGGCGGAGCAGTGCTAGGCCATCAGGGTTGGGGGTCAGTTGGGTGACTTCCGGAGTGTCTGCTCCCGGTGAGTCCGGGGCCCCTTCTGGAAGTTTCACATGTGGCTGGCTTGCACACAGAGAGGCGGGCAGCCGGGTGATCCCCTTCTGGCTGCTTTCCCAGGAAGCCATCTTCAACAAGAGCACGGGGAAGGTTGTACTGAAGACCTTCAGCCTGTACCGGAAGCTGCTGACTCTTTTCAGAGCTGGCCACGACCAAGGTGAGGCGTGTGGAGGACGGGACCCAGGGCAGGAGCTGCTTAGACCAGGCTAGATGGAGGGTGGGGAGTGCGACTGCAGAGACCAGGCCGGAGGCCTAGAGGTGGGGAGGGTCTGAGCTGGCCGCTTGGTGATCCCGGGTGCCGACACTGGCAGGCAGCCTCTACTCTAGCTCAGTGCCCAGCCCTTAGGCACCAGGAAGGCCTTTCTCAGCGATTGGGGAGGATGAAGCAGAAACACGGGCAGAGCAGGGCCGGCTTTCCAAGGGGACAACGGGTGCCATGCTCCTCCTCACCCCGCGGGCGCTCACCGCAAGCCTGTGCTGCGGTCACTGACCTGTGCTGCCATCCCCTGCAGGGTGGCCGCGTCAGGGCACAGGTGGGAAGGGCAGGTGCGCCAGGGCACAGGCGGGAAGGGCAGGGAACCATTGACCCCCCCACCCCACCCCACCCCCGCAGTGGTGGTCCTGCTGAATGACATCCGAGATGTGAACGTGGAGGAGGAGAAAGTCCGGTATTTCGGGAAGGGCTACATGGTGGTGCTGCGGTTCGCGACAGGCTTCTCCCACCCTCTCACCCAGAGTGCTGTAATGGGCCACCGCAGGTAAGCTCTGGGCAGGTGACTGCTGGCCACAGCTGGCCACCCGTACCCCCCGCCGTCAGGTGGCCCCCACAGGGCACTGCAGAGCTGGGCACAGGGAGGGTGTGTGGAGGGATGAGACCTGCCCCTGCCGCTGGGGGAATGTTGGGAGTCCCTATGGGGACAGGAGAGGTCTCCATGAGGACAGGCTGGGCTGGGGTCAGCTGGGGATGGGGACCAGAGCAGAAGGCACCATGTGGGAGGGGAGCCTGGGGGTGCTGGAGGCGGGTGGTCCAGCAGGAGACTGGGGTGGACTTTCTGCCTCCCCTGGGGTAGCGGGCACCTGTGCCCCGGTAACCTGCCCTTCCTCCCGGTGTCGGCCGGCCCAGTGACGTGGAAGCCATCGCCAAGCTCATTGTCACCTTCCTGGAACTGCACCGTCTGGAGAGTCCTGCGGAGCTGTCTCAGAGCAGCGACAGTGAGGCTGATGGCCTGGGGACCCAGAGCTAACGCCCCTGAGGCCCTGCCTGGGGTTCTGGTGGCGCCCTAGTGGGCCCGATGGGCCACCAGCAGGTCTTCCTCCAGCCCTGGCAGTCCCAGGGTGGGACCCTCTGCCGTTCCTGCTGCTTGCTTCTGCCTCCTGAGCAAAACCACAGGCTGGACTTTGGACTTTGTCTGCAGGCTCTGAGCTGTGCAGGGAGAGCGTTGGATGGCCAGCCCCAGCCTGGCCAGCGTGGGTGGGTTGTGAGGGCACATGCACCCCAATGCCTGCCAGCGGTGTGGGGATCAGGTCTCTGAAAAGGAAGCAGTGCCCAGGCTCCCCGGGGTGGGGAGGGGGGTTGGCCAGCCCCGGCACCCCCAGCACCCCCAGCAGTTCGGTCCCAGTGAGAGCAGGGCCAGCAGCTGGGTCAGGCCCAGGGATGCCAGGGGGCTGCCCACGCAGGCGTGTGCCCCACCCCACCTGCTGCAGCCCTTCTCTGGTTACTGAGGTGCTGGCCCAGGGGCTGTGGGCCCCACCTGGCTGCGTGGCAGCCACTCCCAGGGCCTCTGCAGCCCACAGGGAGCCCTTGTCCACTGGGATGGCAGCTGGGCTTTTGCAGGTGCGAGAAGCCTGTGCACGACCCGGGCCAGGGTGGCTCCTGTAGGAACCCAGGCGGGACCTGGTGCCACGAGGACCCTCTGAGCAGGCGCTGCAGAGCAGGGAGCACGGCCTGAGGAGTAGACCTGCCCCCTTCTCAGCGGAGGTCCCCGACAGCCCTAGTTTGGGGGCGCAGTCACTTACACATACCAAAGTTAGGTTTTAAAGTGGTAAAATTCAAAAGCTTTTTTCTAAAATAAAGTATGAAATGCTGTAACTGGTTTCTGGCGTGATCATCCTGACGAAGCTGCCCCAGGGCGAGGAGGGACTGTTGGGACCCCGGGTGAGGAAGGCCCCACTGTGGGCCTGAGCCGCTGGCCGGACCCCAGGTCATCACCAGGTCTGACTCCCACCAGCACGAGTTCCGGGTCCTGCTCTTTATTTTAACCCAACAAGCTCTACACAGTCAGGAAGCAGGCCTCTGCGTGTCTTCCTTGCACGTTTTCCACTTGCCTTCCAGACGCTAACCGTCTGCCCCGTGGGTGCGGCGGGGGCGGGCATCAGCCGGACGCAGGGCCTGGCCCTCAGGGGTCCTGACCCGCCTGCGGGCTGGCGCTGGGGCTGGCGCTGGCTGCCTCCCTCAGGTCCTGCAGCAAGGCCTGCAGCCGCTGCAGGCTGGGCCGCACGTTCTCCTCCAGCCACTCCTCCACGGCATCCGGGTAGAAGACGCGCCGCAGGGCGGCCTCCAGCTCCTGCACCACGGTGCTCCACCTGGCCAGGAGGCTGAGCAGCACAGGAGCAGTGAGCCGCCGGCTGGCACCCCGGGGCAGCAGCTACAGCCTGTGCACTACACGCCCTGAACGACCCCACACACGGAACGGGGCTATTGGCGCCCAGCGCACAGGGCGGGTCCGAGCAAGTGTCCTGGTTCAACATCTGAAACGAATGCTCTTCGCAGCTGACCTGCAGGGTTTTTCTTTCCGCGTGAACCTGTCAACGTCTGACAGTGTCCTCCGCCCCGTGGGGACACCATGTTGGCCTCAGCTCAGCGCGGTGGGCCGGGACAGCACGAGGCAGGGCCAGCTGGCCCCGATGAGCCCTGGACCCCGTCCAGGCACTCACTGACCCTCACCCTTTTGGGCTAGGGATGCCCTAGCTTCTCTGACGCCCACGGCACAGCTGAGGCAGGAAGCTGGCTCATCTAAGCATTCATGGCTGCAATCCTAGAGAGCCTGTCTTGGTTTAAAGCAGTAGCCAAAGGACGTGCAGCCCTGGGGGGGCCCGGGCCCGGGGGAGGCTACGAGCAGGGGGGCGGCTAACCTGAGCGCCGGGGGCTGGATGTGCTGGACCATGACGGGGTGGATGAGCTTCCGCCGGCGGTGGTAGGGGCCAAACCAGCCGGTCACGTACCTGGGGGCAGAGCCACACGGGTGGGTGGCTGCAGCCAGCAGCCCAGCCCAGCCTGCCTTGGGGGGGGGGGTCGTTAAAGTAATACCTTTGAAAAGACTGAAAAATCTGATAGAAATTTTAAAAACCAGTGAGTGTTTGTGTAGGGCGGACCACCCCTACCCCCACCCCCACCCCCACCCCAGCCCTGCACCCCTGCCCCTCACCTGTCCCTCTCCAGCAGCGCGTCCACGGAGCTGCGCAGGTGGAGGCTGACATGCGTGACGAGGGCCAGGATGTCGCTGCCGGGGAAGGAGCCAGCGCCCTCGCTGCATGGAGAGCCGCCGTGCTGAGGTGGGGGTCCGAGCGTGGGGGGAGAGGCAGGGCCAGGGGGCGGGCGCTTACCCTGTAAAGTCAGTCGTTTCTAGGTTTGAAATCCCGAGGAAGTTCTCCACTCTTGCTTTAACGTCTTCGGCAAAACCTCCTGCAACGAGCACAGACGGAGGTGGTCAGAGGGGCCCCTGGAGGAGAGAGGCAGGGAGCCTGCGCCACGCGTGGGCCTGGGTGGCCGGCAAGGTGACCAGAGGCCAGCGTGCACGGGCCAGCCCCAAGGAGACCTCGGGGACAGCTGGGTGTGGGGCTCCTCACTGAACACAGGAAGCAGCTCACCATGTGAGACATAGGAAGATAGAGCAGAACCACCACCAGGGAGACCACCAGCCCATATGCAGCACCTGGCACATGTGGTTCCTCACCGGTGGAATGTTCCAGAACAACTGAAATGAACCAGCGAGGCCTGCAGGTACCAGTGTGGATGGAGGTCAAGAGGCCCTACCAGCCCGTCTCCACAGCAGGAGGAGGGCTCCATGGCAGCGGCGCCCACCTCAGGGGACAGGCAGTGGAGGCCAGCCCCCAGCGTGTCCCCGCACCCTCTTCTAAACGCGTCACAGCTGACACTTCAGAAGCACCAGAGGGGAGGCTCAGGCCCACCGTCCACGTGGGGCCTCAACGTGCTATGGAGCCCATGCCCCGCTTCCCTCGGTGCCTCTCACCCCACACGCAGCAGGCAGTCCCGCTGTGGGCGCCCACGGTCCACGCGCACGTGGGGGGCTTGGTGGCACTAGGCACCCATCAGTTACATGGCACAGGCACGGCCACCTCGGGGGCTCACAGCCTGGGGGCACCGGGCAGGCGGGTGGCTGAGTGAGGAAGACACAGCCGGGCGTCGGGGCTCGGCTCTGCACGTCCCGCACTCCTGCCGCCGTGAAGTGGGGACCTTACCGTGTAGGAGCGACTGCAGGCAGACAGCCAGGGACGGGATCCCCACGGGCAGCAGCTCGCACAGCACCGAGAAGTGGTCGTACCTGAGGCCACGGAGGGGCCGCTCAGCTTGGCGCCCACGCCTGCCCGGTGGGTGCTCCACGGCCTCTGCTGCCCGCGGCCTCTAGGGGCCCTGCACGGCTGGCCGCTGCCTCCGGAAATGTCCCCCACCCAGAGGTCCTGCCAGGGCTCAGTCTGTGCACTCGGCCCCCTGAAACCCTTCCCCCATTCCTCCTGGATCTCGCCTCGGGGGACCTGAGGACGGGCAGGGCCCGGGGCCTCCGGCTGCCCCCCTCTGCCCCGACCTGGCCAGGAGTGTGGCTTCACTGGCAGCTCCGCTTTTCAAACGGTGTGATATCCCTGAAGAGCTAAACTCTGTCCTCAAGGCCGCCCTACGCATGGCTCTGGAGGCCGGGCCGCCGACGTGCAGAGGTGCCTGGGGCCAGGAGGGCCAGTGTGCTTCGCGGCCGTGCACGCCCCCTCTGCAGAGTCTGGGGGTACCCAGGCCCCTCCCTCCTAGGAGCACCGGTCCCCTCCCAGGAAGCGTGAGGCCCAGACCGGACGGGACAATCAGAGCGGCTGCAACCTGGGCGGTCGGCCCGAGCGCCTCCCTGGGGCCCGTGTGGCCTTACCTTTGCCAGCCGGTCAGGACGATGCCCTGCAGCATGTCCGCTGGCCCCCTGGCCGCCACCCGCAGCCACTGCACGTTGTTCCTGAGGTGGTGCTCGATGGGGGTCAGGGCCTGGCTCGCCCCCGTGGCCCCCTTGAAGGCGCTGGCAGCCCATAGCCGGAGAAAACCACACTTCCGGTACTTTTCCATGAGAAGAGCTAGGCGAGAACATGAGTGGTGTGACCGCCTGGGGCCCCAGGAGCTGTGGCCGTCAAGCGTGGACGCTGCGCTTGCCCAGAACCCGGGAGACCCCCCAGCCGTCGTGTGTAGTCCCCGACAGACTAAATCTCAGTGAGAGAAGGGACCCCTGCTTTGTGCAGGTGGCCCCTAGTCCAGCTGCTTGTTAGGAAATCTGGACAGAACAGGCCATCTGGTGAGTGACCTGGGATAGGACACGTGCCAGGGGTGCTCCTGGGCTGCCCGGGCTTGCACGGGGAAGCAAGGCAGGTGGCAGGATCCTGATGCACCAAGGGTCAGTCAGGGCTGCAGGGTGTTGGGGGCCATGGCCAGGGTACTGACCTTTGCCGTGGACGTCCAGGTCGGCCCCATAGTCCCAGAGCACGGGCTCCACCAGCTGTGGGACCCCCGATGCTGGGGGCGGAGAGCGCTGTGAGCGAGGCCGTCGGACACACCCCTGCGCCCTGTCCTGCGGCCTTGTCTGGGGCGCCTGGCCCTTAGGCACAGGCTGGACGCAGCTCGGTTTGACGGTAAATGCTGCGGCCCTGCAATCGGCCAGCTCCGGAAATGACCAGACTGGGTTCTGTGACAGGTGAGCCCCCGGGCCAGGGTCCTAGAGCTTCCTGCAAGGGGGACATGCTGGTCTGCGTGCCGCGGCGGGGGTGCCGGGGCAGGTACAGCGGGAACACACCACGGCCTGGGTTTAAGTCTAACCAACCTTGTGAGAACCCAACGGGCCACACGTGGGCCGGGGCTGCCTCGAGGACACCCGGCCTTGCAGACCCTGGGCCGGGCGGAGCGTGGACCACGGGTATGTCTCTGTCCCACCCCAGAGCCCCGGGCAGGGGGCGGCCCGGGGGGAGGCCCCGAGGGGCTGCTGCATTCCTGGCCCGGCAGCCAGCATGAGCTTTCGCCACGGCCCAGCAGGGCTGCCTCAGGGTCCTGTGGGGCTGAGGCGGCAGCAGCACTGGACACTGCCCCCGTCCCCCTCCTGCGGGGCCCATGAGGGCCCCATGGCTACTGTCCGGTCAGACCTACCACCCTGCACTCCGGTGAGACCCCCGCAGGGCTTCTGGGGGAGCGGCATTTTGTAGAAGAATGTTTAGAGGGGCTCTAAGGAGGCTGCCCGGAGTGAGCTTCGGGGAGGGGGCCTGCTGGCTCCTCACTCCTGCCACCAGAGGCGGGGACGTGCCTGCCCACCTGCGAGCTGGTCCTCGGGGATGGCCCGCAGCATGTCGTCCCACACCAGGGGCCTGGTGGCCGGGTGCCGGGCCAGCACGTGGCAGGCCACCGCCTTCATGTGGGACAGGCACAGTCTGGCTTTGGTGTTGTGCTCCTGCTGCAGCCACCGTCTCGAGGCCTCGCCCTCCCCGAGGTAGTAGACCTGAGGGGAGCCCAGGGCGGGTTTGTCCCTGCGCAGGGACACCAGTGCCAGCTGCCCATGGGGAGGGGCCGCTGAAGGGGCCCTCCTTCTGCACCGAGTCCCGACTCTACTCCCGGGGTCCTCCGGAGGTTCACAGCAGCCCGAGGGCAGAAGGCCGAGGTGCCCCAGCCAACAAGCAGGTACATGCACGGCCCGGCCTGCACTGCTGGGGTGCGGACGGCCCTTGGGGCGCCAGCCCTCCACCCCTGTGCTTCAGGCTGCACCCGCACCAGGTCACAGGGCAGCCGGCGCGGGCGCCCACACTGGGGGTGGCTCCTCGGTGGGGCGAGGGGCCCTCGAGTGAGGGAGGGGCCGCTGCAGCAGGGGAGCAACACCCGGCAGGCCAGGCTCAGGGGTGAAGAAGCATCGCAGGACCCACCTCGTCGCAGCCGACATGGAGCCACCGGGCACCCGGGTGCAGCTCCATGACCTGGCTGATCATGGCTCCCACCAGCGCCAGGGACTCAGCCTCATGCGGGTTCAGGGTGTTAGGGAAAAGTGCCACTTCTCGGAGGTGAGCGAGAGCCTCGTGCTTCAGCACAAACTGCAGAGACAGAAGGGGACATGAGGGGCGCCGGGAGACAGGTTCGCCACAGGGGCTGGTTCTGGCTCCCACGGGGTCACCCCAGAGGGCGCTGCTCCAGGTCACCCAGAGGGCTGCTGGCCGGGCTGAGCCTGTTGCTGGCTCTCGGCCCTTTCCTTCCGGTCAGGTCTACCTGGGCCGGGTGAAAAAGGAAAAGCCAGGATCACTCACATTCGGATGGAGCTGCCACCAGCTGGAAATGTGATGGGTGACCGTAAAAACGAGAGCCCCAGAGGTGACACACACTCTCTTCACAGCCCAGCTGACTGGGGGCCACACACATGCCCAGCCAGGGTGGATGGGGCACGGCTGACCTCCCAGTGCCCCCAGCCTGTGGCCCAGACCCTGGCTGACCACCAGCTGCGAAGACAGAGGGGTGGCCTGAGGAAGCCAGGCCAAGACAGAGGCCATCACAGCTACACAGGGCCGGGGACGCGGACTGAGACCCCAGAACCACGAGAGCACGTGTCTGTAGTTCCAAGTCACTGGCTGACATCCTTTGCTGCTGCGGCCCCAGGAAACACACCACCCTGAGAGCAGTCAGGCCCCTCAAGGAGCAGGAGTGGGGGGGGGGCGCTGCAGGACAGCGGGGCAAGGGGCAGAGCGGCACCATTGGGGGACCTCCCCCAGGTCAGGCGGTGGTTCACACGAGGCTGGAGCCAGAGGGATGGCAGGCGCCAACTCGAGAGACACAGCAGCAGAAGCGGCAGGACCTCACAATGGCCCAAGTGCAGAGGTGCGGGGGCGTGCCAGAGTCGGCAGCGGGGCCAGGGTTGGGGGTCCTGAGGACGGGGAGGGAAGCAGGAGTGGACGTGTGTCGTGTGGAGAGGGAGCGTGAGGCGAGGGGCCCCGGGAGGAGCCACGGGGACGCCGCCTCGTGTAGCGGGATGCACCTGCTAGCAGAGCAGCACAGCCAGACCTGGGCCTGCAGGGGCGGCTTCGGGAGGGAGCGGCTGCGGCTGCGAACAGCCTGTAGTCAAGGACGCCCGACCAGAACCTGTCGCTATGTTTAGTGACTCGGGGGACAGAGGGGCTCTGGGGGATGCTCTGTGGACTGTGGGCCGTGGCAGCAGAAGTGAGGAGCCCAAAGAGCACAGCAGGCAACGTGGGCCAGGAAAGGCCGAGGCCTGAGCGTGGGAGACGTGGGCACGTAGCAGGGGGGACTTGCGTGTGACTGGAGGAGAACGCAGCCCCTCTGATGCTGGCCGGGGGGGGGGGGGGCACAGGCCCAGCAGGCGTCCCTGCTAGAGAAGAAAAACACGGAACCTATAGCCATTAAATCAATGTGTCAAACCTGTTTCCCATCTTTTGATGCAGATGTGAACATATTTCTGAAGATCACACAGGAACTTGGGGAGATATTTTCAGTACTAAGCGATGAATACAAGTTAAAAAGGAGAACAGGAGAACATATGGACTCTCGGGGCTCCATGGGAATCGTGCATCCCCACTGGCCCGTCTCCTGCATTCTGTGGACAGAGGTTGCTCGGCCCTAGAGTTTGCAGGGCAAGGGCTTCTAGGAAAGAACTGCTCCTTGTCTGTGGCCGGCCACTGTCTGTGTGCCCCCGAGCCCACACCTGGGCACCATGGAACTGGGGTTCCTCCCACTTACCTCCATGTGTCCAAATGTCTGCACCAACGGAATGACCTCGAGCTCATTCAGTGTAGCCAGATGTAGGATCTCTTTAATTTCAGGGGGGCTAGGAGACAAAGACCACCCAGAGGTTCACACCAGCTCCTGTTGGCACGCCAGCCCCTGTAGAAACTCCAGCTCTTGTTCACACTAGCACCTGTTCACCTTCCAGTCCTTATTCACACCATCTCCTCTTGACCCTCCAGCACTTGTTCACACCAGCTCCTCTTGACCCTCCAGCTCTTGTTCACACCAGCTCCTCCTGACCCTCCAGCTCTTGTTCACACCAGCTCCTCTTGACCCTCCAGCTCCTCTTGACCCTCCAGCTCGTTCACACTAGCTCCTCTTGACCCTCCAGCTCATTCATACCAGCTCCTCTTGACCCTCCAGCTCATTCATACCAGCTCCTCTTGACCCTCAGCTCATTCATACCAGCTCCTCTTGACCCTCAGCTCTTGTTCACACCAGCTCCTCTTGACCCTCCAGCTCTTGTTCACACCAGCTCCTCTTGACCCTCCAGCTCTTGTTCACACCAGCTCCTCTTGACCCTCCAGCTCTTGTTCACACCAGCTCCTCCTGACCCTCCAGCTCTTGTTCACACCAGCTCCTCTTGACCCTCCAGCTCCTCTTGACCCTCCAGCTCGTTCACACTAGCTCCTCTTGACCCTCCAGCTCATTCATACCAGCTCCTCTTGACCCTCCAGCTCATTCATACCAGCTCCTCTTGACCCTCAGCTCTTGTTCACACCAGCTCCTCTTGACCCTCAGCTCTTGTTCACACCAGCTCCTCTTGACCCTCCAGCTCTTGTTCACACCAGCTCCTCTTGACCCTCCAGCTCTTGTTCACACCAGCTCCTCCTGACCCTCCAGCTCTTGTTCACACCAGCTCCTCTTGACCCTCCAGCTCCTCTTGACCCTCCAGCTCGTTCACACTAGCTCCTCTTGACCCTCCAGCTCATTCATACCAGCTCCTCTTGACCCTCCAGCTCATTCATACCAGCTCCTCTTGACCCTCAGCTCTTGTTCACACCAGCTCCTCTTGACCCTCAGCTCTTGTTCACACCAGCTCCTCTTGACCCTCCAGCTCTTGTTCACACCAGCTCCTCTTGACCCTCCAGCTCTTGTTCACACCAGTTCCTCTTGACCCTCCAGCTCTTGTTCACACCAGCTCCTCTTGACCCTCAGCTCTTGTTCACACCAGCTCCTCTTGACCCTCAGCTCTTGTTCACACCAGCTCCTCTTGACCCTCCAGCTCTTGTTCACACCAGCTCCTCTTGACCCTCCAGCTCTTGTTCACACCAGCTCCTCTTGACCCTCCAGCTCTTGTTCACACCAGCTCCTCCTGACCCTCCAGCTCTTGTTCACACCAGCTCCTCTTGACCCTCCAGCTCCTCTTGACCCTCCAGCTCGTTCACACTAGCTCCTCTTGACCCTCCAGCTCATTCATACCAGCTCCTCTTGACCCTCAGCTCATTCATACCAGCTCCTCTTGACCCTCAGCTCTTGTTCACACCAGCTCCTCTTGACCCTCCAGCTCTTGTTCACACCAGCTCCTCTTGACCCTCCAGCTCTTGTTCACACCAGCTCCTCTTGACCCTCCAGCTCTTGTTCACACCAGCTCCTCCTGACCCTCCAGCTCTTGTTCACACCAGCTCCTCTTGACCCTCCAGCTCCTCTTGACCCTCCAGCTCGTTCACACTAGCTCCTCTTGACCCTCCAGCTCATTCATACCAGCTCCTCTTGACCCTCCAGCTCATTCATACCAGCTCCTCTTGACCCTCAGCTCTTGTTCACACCAGCTCCTCTTGACCCTCAGCTCTTGTTCACACCAGCTCCTCTTGACCCTCCAGCTCTTGTTCACACCAGCTCCTCTTGACCCTCCAGCTCTTGTTCACACCAGCTCCTCCTGACCCTCCAGCTCTTGTTCACACCAGCTCCTCTTGACCCTCCAGCTCCTCTTGACCCTCCAGCTCGTTCACACTAGCTCCTCTTGACCCTCCAGCTCATTCATACCAGCTCCTCTTGACCCTCCAGCTCATTCATACCAGCTCCTCTTGACCCTCAGCTCTTGTTCACACCAGCTCCTCTTGACCCTCAGCTCTTGTTCACACCAGCTCCTCTTGACCCTCCAGCTCTTGTTCACACCAGTTCCTCTTGACCCTCCAGCTCTTGTTCACACCAGTTCCTCTTGACCCTCCAGCTCTTGTGCACACCAGCTCCTCTTGACCCTCCAGCTCATTCATACCAGCTCCTCTTGACCCTCTACCTCTTGTTCACACCAGTTCCTCTTGACCCTCCAGTTCTTGTTCACACCAGCAACTCTTGACCCTCAGCTCTTATTCACACCAGCTCCTATTTACCCTCCAGCTCTTGTTCATACCAGCTCCTCCTGACCCTCCTGCTCTTATTCACACCAGCACCTGTTGACACTCCAGCTCTTCTTCACACCAGCTCCTCTTGACTCTCAGCTCTTATTCACACCAGCACCTCTTGACCCTCCAGCTCTTGTTCACACCACCTCCTGTTCACCCTCCAGCTCTGGTTCACAGCAACTCCTGTTGACACTCCGGCTCTGGTTCACAGCAGCTCCTATTCATACTCCAGCTCCTGTGACCCTGTTCATACTCCCACTTCTGTTCATGTTCCCCCTCCCTTGTCAGGTTCCAGGTGGGCTCTCCTGGGGAAACTAGTATGGTCGGTATTTCCTAAAGCTCGAAAGATACTCAAGGTTTCAGAGAGGGCTCCCACCCTAGAATTTGGGGAAATGATGCTCTGTTACGTCCTCAAGTAATGGTTTGCTTTTTACCAGCTATTCTTACCAAACTCTGTAAGAAGCTGAAGCCATTTTACAAGAAACTGGGCCATACAAGGAATCATATTGTAGAAAGGGGGTTGGCAGATGGCTCAAGGACAAATTCATCTGCTTGTTTGCATACAGCCCATGACCTAAGAATTGATTTTCAAGTTTAATATGGTTGAGAAAAATAAAAAGAAAAATACTTCATGATGTGAAAATTACATGAAATTCATATTTCCATGCCCACAAGTAGAGTTTCACTGGCACTCAGCTGTGGCCACTCACTGACATTTCCATTCATGGCTGGCTGCTCATGCCCCACAGATTTCAGTAACAGAGACCAGGTGGCTGCAGAACTGAAACTACTGCCTGACCCTTTATTTTTTTTAAAAGATTTTATTTATTTATTCATGAGAGACACAGAGAGAGAGAGAAAGAGGCAGAGACACAGACAGAGGGAGAAGCAGGCTCCATGCAGAGAGCCTGATGTGGGACTCGATCCAGGGACCCCAGGATCATGCCCTGGGCCAAAGGCAGATGCTCAACTGCTGAGCCACCCAGACGTCCCTGCCTGCCCTTTTAAAGAGAAGCTCATGACCCCTTTCACAGAGAAAATTTAAAAGATCTTCGAGGTTGCAGTAAGGGGGCTCATCCCCGTGGGGGTTAGTGAGCTCCATGAGTGCATCTGAAGGCGGGAATGCTCCGGGGGGGCACGGACGGCACCTGGGAAAGGCTGGCTGCCCACTCCAGCACCTGCTGTCATACATGGATTTATTGCAAGAAAGCGAGTTCCAGTTTCTGTGTTTGAACCATCTCATAACCAGTTCTATGAACATATGGACTTCAAATAGACCTTTTTCAAGCTTCACAGGTACCCTAGCACTTGTTTCCACTTAAAAAACAAATAACCAAAAAGTGTTCATCATAAGAAGAAAAATAGAGCAGCATGAAAAGAACGCAAACTTCCAGCAACCTCACTGCAGCGTTAACACTCTGGACAAACACACGGAGCACGTACGCCCCGCGGAGTTCTGACATAGACCGAACCTCCCTCCAGAGCGGCCCACCAGCCGGACTTATCTTTTCTCAGCCTTGTGAACCCAGAGCATTAGACCCTTTTAAAAATCTTCACCAATTTGGGCAGCCCCGGTAGCGCAGTGGTTTAGTGCTGCCTGCAGCCCGGGATGTGATCCTGGAGACCTGGGATCGAGTCCCGCGTCAGGCTCCCTGCATGGAGCCTGCTTCTCCCTCTGCCTGTGTCTCTGCCTCTCTCTCTGTGTCTCTATGAATTAAAGAAAAAAAAAAAATCTTCACCAATTTGATAGCCAAAACAGCATTTCACTTGTCTTAATTCACTTTATTGCTATCATACGCTTATCGGCCATTCTTGTTCTGGGGGAGGGGATCAGCCCAATGTCTTTTGCTCATTCTCCTTTGAGGCTGTTACTGACTTACATGGACGCCACAACCCTAAAGCCAAGCAGGGCGCACCCATGGCCGCTGTATCTGCTTTTATTAATTCTGACACCCCCTCTTTTAACCTCTGCTTTCCTGATAAGGGTCCCAACTGTGGCCTTAAAGAGCAGCATCCGCTTCCCCTCACCCCCGCCCCCATCCTTCTCCCTCCCCCTTAATGCTTCCAAATTCTCTCCAGTAAGCGTATTTTATTTCTGTAACTAAGACAGGAGTTTAAAAGCCAGAAGAGGGCTGCCCAGCACTGCCAAACCCTTGCCCGCCCTGCCCACGCCTCCAGGTGGCCCCACACATCCGCTTTCTCCGTGGCTGGGAATACCTGTACGCGTGCTTGGCTCTCAGCAGCCTGAGGTGGCCCTCGTAGGGAAACATGTCTTCGTACTCAAGGAGGAGCCCGTTGGCGCCAAGGGCATGGAACAGAGGAAAGACCTGGGGGAACAGGGATGCTATGAGGAAGCGACTATCTGAAGGAAGGTGACAGAGGTGCCACATGTGGACTGTCTTCCTGCCTGTGGACATGGGTCGTGGTTGATGCTCACATTTCTCCTGCAAATGTTTACCCTGGAATGCGCACCGTGTGCTACACCAAATCAAACCCTCTGCCGCTGCAACCTGTTCGCTTGGCACAGGAGAGGCCTGCACCTGCGCAGCAGAGCTGTGGCTCAGCCTTGGGGTTCAGCCGGGAGGCAGGGAGAGGCTGCGGGTGTGCGGGGACGGGCTGTCCACTTCCTCCTCTATCTCTATTTCAGAGGATATGAATTCCTATCAAGCACGTCCAAGACGAGTTCACATTTACCATACAAAGAATTGAGATTTTCTTCTAGTCTGACACCAAGGCTGGGGTGGAAAAGAGCACATTCTGGGAGCCATCGGAGGGGCCTCCTGCAGGTATCTGTCCACCCTGCCCTGGACAAGGGGCACTGCAGGTCCAACAAGACTTTAACACTCCTGTTGATGTGTCTGTCGAAGTTTCCTCTCCTGCGAGCATGGGGACGTTCTGAAGAAGCTGGATGGAAAGAAGAAAAAAGCCTGGGGCTAATGCTCAGCTGCAGACAATTCATCATGAGCAGTCGACTGCAAATTACAAAAAGAGGCAGACAAGCTGGAAAGGAGGAGCTTCTGCAGGTCAAGCACGCCGATAACGTGACATCAAGGTCTTGGCATTTCCCCATTTCTTCAGTATTTCTGCTTCTGGTGTCCATCGCAGCCTCCCGTGGCCCTCTGACCACCACGGCCTGTATGGCACTCTGGCCGTTGGGGTTGGTGGCGATCCGTCATGTCATGGGTGGTGGGGAGCTGTGGGGCTGGGAATAAGGTCCTCGCTGTAAATCTGCAGGAGCGTGCACGTGCACACACACGGGGGGTGATGCACTGAGCCCCCTGCATCTGTCGTTGAGGCTCAACATCATTTCACCTAACTTCCACTTTTATGACTGGAGTATTTCTAAGCAAATCCCACACTACACAACTGTTCATCTGTAAATACTTCAATATACATCCCTGATGATCTTTTTACAAAAGCACACCCCACACCACCATTATCTCCTCTAACCAAATAATTCGTTAATGTCATCCATGCTCTAATTTTCCTGTGTTAAAATCTTGTCACATATGGCTTGTTTGAAACTAGTCCAGACAAGGTCCATACACTGCCTTGTTTGAATGGATCTCTTAAGGTTCTCTGATTTTTAACAGTTCCTTCTACTTTTTTGAGTTTGTTGAAGAGACCAAGTCACTTATTTTGTATGATGTTACAAACTTTGGATTTGACGGATGGTATTCCCAAGATGTCCTGTAGCATGTTTGCCTATTTCCTATTCTCATGGGTGCCGATGGTTAGACGTGAAGGCCTGATTACATCCAGGTGTTATTCTTTTGGCAAGAATACTTCACAGGCAGTTCTAGAAGTCATAAGTCTGGCTGCCCCACTGGAGTGATGTCAGGCTGATCGGTGATGCTCTGGGGCATCAGCTGACCCACCCCTAGAGCCTCTGCCTCATGGTTTCAGCCACTGCTGAAATGACTGCCCAGCGCACTGACCAGGAACTGCAAGGTGGTGACTTTCCAGGTTCATCACTCCTCGGGTGTGATGGCTGGAACTCTCCCTCACGGAAGAATTTCCTCAGTGATTACTTGGTCACTCCAGCCCTGATGATGCTGGGACCTTCATATGCAAAGGTCAATTTTGTTGGATACAAAATCCTTGAATATCTTAAATGTTACTCCTTTGTTTTCCTGTCACAAAATGCTGTCAAAATATCTGATGCTGATCTAATTATCCTTCCCTCATATGGAACTTGTATCTCTTTCCTGTGTGCCCAAGAGTTTTCATTTTTTAAAAAATCTGATACAACTACCGGATGACGCCTTAGTGTCTATCATCCCAAATATACGATATGCCCTTAAAAAAAAAAAAAAAAAGATTTGTTTATTTGAGAGAGTGTGTGAGTCAGGGGAGGGGCAGAGAGAGAGTGTCTCAGGCAATCTCACACCCAGAGCTCAGAGACCAACTCCAGGCTTGATTCCACAACCCATGAGATCATGATCTGAGCTGAAACCAAGAGTCAGGTGCTCAACCACCCGAGCCACCCCTGGTGCTCCAGGTACGCCCTTTCAATAGACCCATGTATTCTTAAATTTTGGAATAAAAAACACAAAGTGTTTTTGTAGTTTCTGGGCATTTGTCCTACAGCACTGCCTTGGTTCTTCTTTGGGACTGTTGCAAACTGAAAACATGGCTACAATCTGTGCCTTCCTCATCAGGAGGCAATATCTATTCCCAGCCTTGAATCTGGGCTGACTCTGGACTTGCTTTCCAAGAGTTAACACTAGGCCCAGGAAGGCTTTCAGCTTTGGCTCCCACGCCCTCAAAGCACTGCCCTGCGACCACCATGCTAACAGAGGCTGGCTTGGCCTCCGAGAGAACAGGCACCCATGTGGAGGACCAGAACCATGGTGCCCAGTGGAGAGCCAGCACTAACTGGTGGATGTGTAAGGCCCTCTTGGACCATCAACTGTTCCTACTTGTCTGGGGACAGCCAACACAGGAGGGAGCCCAGGGCGAACCAGCAGAACCACCCACCAGCCATGGAAAGAGGAAATGATGACTTTCTGTCTTAAGCCTTGAAGTTGGGCATCCAGCAGCAGAAGACTGAGGCAAGGGCTCCAGCTGCAGGTGAGTTGGACCTTCTTTGCTTATCTTCTGTATCTTTCAATTTGTCAGATGCTTTTTATCTTTTCACGTTTGACAGCCTCTTTTTCCTTATTTATTTCCCAATAGTATGCTTTCCACAGTGTCTGCTCACTTCTGTTCTTCTGCCTTGATCTATTTCAGCCAGACACCGCCTCTGTCTCCTCTGCATCCCTGCTCCCCTCTCAAAACCTGTTCTCTGCTTCACTTTTTTTTTTTTAAGATTTTATTTATTTATTAGAGACTAAGAGAGAAAGAGCACAGAGGGAGCAGCAGAGAGGGAGGGAGAAGCAGACTCCCAGCTGAGCAGGAAACCCGATGTGGGGCTCGATCCCAGGACCCTGGGATCATGACCCAAGTCCAAGGCAGATGCTTCGCGGACTGAGCCACCAGGTGCCCCCCTGCTTCACTTTCACTGTTCCTGCGCAGCTCCCCATGGATTCGCTCAATACTGTGTTTTTAATGTGGGGCTCTGTCGTTCTAGAAGTTTCTGGACAGTATTTCTGAGAGCCGTAGGCCTCTCCAGCATTTTCCTCTGAGTCTTTTTGCAGTCTCAAATTGCAGCCAGTGAAAGCCCTCCCCTGTTCCTTTCTTGATGGAGGACAAGTACTTGTGAGCTGTTTTCTGGTACTTCTGGTCTCGGCCCTGTTAGAATTCCATTCTCTTTCCTCTATCACCCCCTGCCTGGTTATTAATCTCACATGGGCGGTAAGCTGTACCACTTGCATTTGAGACACATGGGGATACCCCATATCTACTTTTGCTCAAGAGTGTATTAGTTTTCTAGGGCTGTTGTAACAAATTATCACAAACTGGGCGGCTTAATACAATGAGAATTTATTCTCTTCCAGAAATAAAAAATCAAGGTATGGGCTGGGCAGTGCTTTCTTTGAAGGCTCCAGGGAAGTGTCTGGTGTCACTGGCAGTCCCGGCATTCCTTGGCTTGTAGATACATCCCTCTAATCTCTGCCTCTGTCTTCACATGGTGCCCCCCTGTAACCCCTGTGTCTAAATTTCCCTCTTCTTACAAGGATGTCACTCATTGTATTAGAGGTACCCTACTCCAATATGGCCTCATCCCATGTTGATTATAACGGCAAAGACTGAGGTTACATTCACAGGTGGTTAGGATTTGAACGTTACCTCTTTGGGAGATGCCATTCAGCCCACAGCAAACCGGCTGTGGGTTTCTTTTGTTGTGTTCACCCCTCTCCCCACCCCTTTTGCTATCCTAATTGCTCTGTTTTATGAAGGCATTTGGGGGAAACTCAAAATCTATGCTGCTGCCAACACTGCCCCGACTTGGAAGCCCATGGTTGTGCTCTAAGCACACCATCCTACAGAATACTGTTCACAACTTTGAAGACCAAACCCAGGCAAGGAAAGACCATCTTAGGGGGAAGGGGCTCTTACCTCAGAGAGGTAGGAGACCTTTGGTGGAGCTCCTTTAAGGTCCAAATGAACTAATCGCATCTTAAATGGTGAAGAACCTGACATTTCACTATTTCTCAGGAAGTCATAGAACAATCCCTTGTCTGGGTGCTTCTTCCTAGTGGAGAAATCCAAAGTCATAAATAGGCACAGGCTCCTTTTAGCCCCTGCCCTTCACTCTGTGCTTCCATTCCCTGGGAGGAAACTCATTTCACCAACATGAAAATGAACCAAGAAGGCTCCCTCATATTCAGGTAAAGGGACCTTTGCCATTTAGTTATGATTAGCCCCTAAAATAGAATGGCACCGGTTTCCTCATAAGATGGCTGTGACTTAGGGGATCCCTGGGTGGCGCAGCAGTTTGGCGCCTGCCTTTGGCCCAGGGCGCGATCCTGGAGACCCAGGATCGAATCCCACGTCGGGCTCCCGGTGCATGGAGCCTGCTTCTCCCTCTGCCTATGTCTCTGCCTCTCTCTCTCTCTGTCTCACTGTGTGCCTATCATAAATAAATAAAATAAAAATAAAAATTAAAAAATTAAAAAAAAATGGCTGTGACCTATAATAACACAAATGATTACAATATAGTTTTGTTTTAAATTAAAGACCGTCTCCAGTGGTATACACTTGCTAGTGTAAACACGCAGATATGTCTAAACATTTTTCAGGCCCTGCAATATGATTTTTCTGTAGAAAATGTATCCCTAATTTTATTTTATCTTGAAGAGCATTAAAGAAAACCCCTGACATTTCTAGAACTCAAGTCAGTTTCATTGTATGGAAGAAGAAACTAAAAGTTTAGTTTAGGTCAGAGAACACTGCCTAGGATTTAAAATAGGCCACTGATAATCTGAAGAACAAATGAGCCATGAGTACATGGGGCTGACTCGCTTTTATAAAGTAAAGGAAGTAGCTGGATGACAACAAAGTAACTGGTAAGGAGCGTGATTTCTTTTTTCCCTCTAGCTATTTTAAAAATACAAAGGGTTAGAAGAGAAAAGAGAAAGAAAATCTTTGCGTATGGGTCATGTTTACAGCTCAACAATTCAAACTACTCATTCAGTGTGAGGACTCATAAATCCCTGAACCTAAGAAGTCTATTATGAAACAAGGAACATAAAATAGACACACGGGGCAGCCCGGGTGGCTCAGCGGTTTAGCACCGCCTTCAGCCCAGGGCGTGACCCCGGGGTCCCCGGATGGAGTCCCACATCGAGCTCCCTGCATGGAGCCTGCTTCTCCTTCTGCCTGTGTCTCTGCCTCTCTCTGTGTCTCTCATGAATAAATAAAATCTTAAAAAATAAAAAAAAAATAAAAAATAATAATAAAATAGGGGATCCCTGGGTGGCTCGGCGGTTTGGCGCCTGCCTTTGGCCCGGGGCGTGATCCTGGAGTCCCAGGATTGAGTACCGCGCATAGGGCTCCCAGCATGGAGCCTGCTTCTCCCTCTGTCTGTGCCTCTCTCTCTCTCTGTGTCTATCATAAACGAATAAATAAGGGCAGCCCCAGTGGCGCAGCAGTTTAGCGCCGCCTGCAGCCCAGGGCTTGATCCTGGAGACCCTGGATCGAGTCCCACGTCGGGCTCCCTGCATGGAGCCTGCTTCTCCCTCTGCCTGTGTCTCTGCCTCTCTCTCTCTGTATCTCTATGAATGAATAAATAAAATCTCAAAAAAAAAGAATAAATAAAATCTCTAAAAAATAATAATAAGATAGACACACAAAAACTAGCGTGATTAAAAAAAAATCATATTCAAAACAGTCTCCATCACAAAATTCTCAAGGCAATTCCTGAAATCACCAGCTGTTGGATGGACGAGTTTTGTGAAAACACATTCTGAACGCTGCTTTTATTTTATTTATTTTTAAAAGATTTTATTTATTTCTTCATGAGAGACACAGAGAGAGAGGCAGAGACACAGGCAGAGGGAGAAGCAGGCTCCCTGCGGGGAGCCCGACGTGGGACTCGATCCAGGGTCTCCAGGATCATGCTCTGAGCCAAAGGCATCCCCTGAACGCTGCTTTTAAAGCTGAATTCTTAAAAAAAAAATAAAATAAATTCACAAACCAAACCAATTTCCCAGGGACTGGACTTGGAACACTTCTGAGCCGGGAGGTGTGCGCGGGCGGCGTGCGCATCCCCTCATCGGGAGGGAAACCCTGCGCCTGCGCCTGCGCCCGCATCGCCGGGCTAGGGCCGTCGGGGCCTTACCTGCCGCAGACGCGCCGGCTCAACAGTCTTAAGTCTCTGCAAAACCTAAAGGAAAAGAAGCAGACAAGTGGGTGTTTCGCGTCCGTAAGGGCGTGCGGGTGTCTTTACCTGGATGCCTACCGACGGGCGGTCTCCCGCAGACCTGGCGGGCTCGCCCCGGCTGCCCGGAACCGCGTGCGCAGGTGCTGCAGCCCCGGGCCCCTCCCCCTCCCCCCGGGCCCGCCGGCGACCCCCCCGCCCCGCCCCGGTTCCGAGCCCCGCGGCCCAGCGGTTCCGCTTCTCACCCAGCGGGCGGACGCACAGGCGAGTCCCGAGCGCCCGCGGGTCCCAGCACCCGGGGGGGCGCGGCCCCGGGGACGCAGCGGAGGCCGCCGCCGGGGAGCGCCGCGAGGTGCGCGCCCAGGTCCACGCGCGCTCCGCCCCGCCCAGCGCGGCGCTCGGCCTCCGATTGCTCGGGCCTGGCCGCCAGCCCCGGGGTCGACGGCCGAGCGCGTCGCTCTGCGTCCCCGGCCGCGCCGGCCTCGCGCACCCTCTCGCGGCGCTCGCGCGGGGCTCGGAGCGGCTCCCGCGGTCGGCCCGGCTCCGCCGCCGCGGCCCGGTCCGATGGCGCCGCAGCGGAGGGGCGCGCCCAAGGCGCCCGAGGGCAGCGGGGCGGCCGAGCGCCGGCGCCCGAGCAGGTACCGGGCAGCGCGGGGACCCGCGAGCTGCGGCGGCGGCGGCGGGCGGGGCGTGGCCTCACGAGCGTGACTGTGTGGTGGGCGTGGCCTCGGTGGGCGTGGTCTTAAGGGGGCGTGGTCTTGGGGGCGTGGCCTGCCGTGGGAGCGGGACCCCGCCCCGCGTGCAGAGGGCCCCACGAGTCCCGAGGCCCCGTGGTCTCGCGCGTGTGCGGCCTTGGGGCTGTGCACAGGCGGGCGGGCGGCTGAACGAGTGATCGTCTCCTCGCGGAGCCTCCCAGGGGCTTCTGCAGCCTTCGGAGCTGGGGAGTGCTGTAGCCCACACCCCCCGGCCCGGGGCAAACCCCCGAGCGCCAGTGCTTGCCCTGCGGCCTGGACCTTGCTCCGAGGCTCGAGGCTCGAGGGAGCCTCCTCCGTGCAGCACGAGCCAGCTCACCCCACGCGCGGGTGCTCACCTAGAGCAGACCCCAGAGGGTGTTGCGTCCAAATCCAAGATGCAGTTGCCCCGGCCCCCGCCTCTGTCCCTTTCAGGTTCTGCAGCCACGCAGCAGCTCTGCCTTGCAGGTTGGGGTTCCAGTCATTAGGCTGCTGAGTCTCCTTCCCTATCTGCAGTTTGGGGGAAGATAATGATGGCCCGCTGGTGTCCACCCTGGTCTAAGTAGAGAAGGCTGGGTGGTCTCGGGGTGGGGAGTCTTTCTGAGCTGGGCAGACCCCCCACCTCGGTGGTCTGTGATCGCTGTTTGAAATGGTCACGTATCCACTCACCATGGGCTGACCGTGCTGTGCCCTCCTTGGGATTTATTTATCGGAATGTGTTGTGTTAATCAGCGCTGAAAAGGGTGGAGGGACACAGACAAGTATAAGTCAGGCTTCCTGCATTTCAGGAATTAAGTACATACTTGAAGAGACAGGGCACACTTCCTCAAAAGGGTGCCTTGATCTTTTGCCTTATTTTGTGCAAGTTCTTGGAGCCCTACAGCCACCGAGTCACCTAGACAACAGAGCACACAGCTTCTCGGTTACACACGTGCACACATATGCGCACGTACACAGATACACAGACCATAGGCATGCATGTAGATACAGATGTGCACACACACATGCTTATAACTTCAGGTTGTGCAAAAAGTGTCTTAATTGCAGATCAAATGAAAAATTTTGGTGATTGTATTCTCTTCTTAGCTGGCTCGTGGCTTACTTAAGTGGGCTTGACTCACACTTAAGCTGCTGTGTCGTGCGCGTGGGCATGTGCAGTGGTTGGGGCAGTCTGTTTCAGCGGCAGGCAATGTGATTGGCAACAGAGATGCAGGTTCTCTGTGGGCATGGCTGGGCTAGGAGGGACACTGGCTGGCAGCTCATTGTGTTGACAGCACGGGTCAGATGGGGCTGGGGGCCACATTCCCCACCACATCCTCTCAGGCTGGTGAGCACCTCTGGATTGGTCGAGAATAGCTCTGACCTCCTTTAGCGCAGAGCAGTTTAAGGCTTGCTGTAACTAAGTGGGTGGGGACCCTGGTCATCCACCTTTCCAGCACACGTGGGTGCCTTTGGGTGACTGCGGTTGTGTTTTGTCCTTAGCACAAAGAGTGTCCGGGCACCCAGGGAGGTGCAGAGGAAGTGGCTGAGAACCTCCGTCCTGGGGGCCTGCGCCGTGCTTGCCGGGCTGCTGCTCTGGAGCAGTATGGGGGGTGATGATGGTGTCACCGAGGTCCTGGCTCACCGTGGAGAGATCCTGCCCGGACGGTTCATCGAGGTGCCCTGCTCAGAGGACTATGACAGTCACCGAAGGTTTGAAGGTAGGTGACGCTGCTGTGGGCTGGGAAAGACCAGCATGTTGCAAGGAACGCACTGCGTTTGTGATGCATCAGTCTTTTGCTGCAGTGAAGTGGTGGGAATCAGATTGAAAGTGGTGTGGGGATCGGGGGGTACAGCCAAACGTTCCCTCTCTCAGGTGGGTTAACCCACCCCCAACTGGGAAGGGCAGGGGTGCTGGTCCCTGAGGCTAGCCTTTCATGGAGGTGCCTGCACTCTGACGGAGGGACCTAACAGAATTGGAAAGGTAGGGACGAGAGTGTTGAGATCAGAAGAGGCATTGCGTGGAGAGTGTCACAGTGTTGTGGCTGCAGAAAATGTCACTGCCAGAAGCCCTTCCCCAGGTCAGAGTGTCCCATCGTGGCGGGGGGAGGGCAGGAGAGGGCATGGCGCCCAGAGGCAGAGCCACCCTGCACCTGCTGGCTTTCTTTCCCCACCCCCCACGTTCCTCCTACTGCTCACTTTCTCAGTTTTTAAAAACCTAGCCTGCTGGGTCTTAAGACAGCCTGGGTCTTAAAGACAGAATCCCATTAATTGTTTTACCCAGAGCGATGCTCTGGACCTGAACTGGGAGAAGGCTGCCAGGTGCTTCCACCGCCACAGTGAGGCCCGCTGTGGGGGCCCCGGTCCCTGTGTTTCCCGCAGCGACAGCTGAAGTTCTTCGTCTCACCCATAATAATCTAGCAAATTAAACCTTCACACGAAGGGGGGGGGGGCAATGGGGAGTTATTATTTACTAGTGCAGGGTTCTAGTTCGGGAAGCAGAAAAAATTCTGGAGATGAACGGGGATGATGTTGGCACAACGTGGATGGGAAATGGTAAATTTCACATTATGTACATTTGCCACAATCAGAAGAATTGAGGCATATTTAAAGCTTCTGGACTTCCCCTGAGCTCTTCAGGCTGGAGGGGCTTCCAGGTTGGGGGGGGCTCCTGATGAGGTGAGGAGGCCCTGCCCCTGGTGGGGGTGTCTGGACGGGGCACTGCTCCGTTGGGGGGGGGTGCTCACGCACGTGCACTGATCAGTCAACCAAAATTCACTTTTTCATCCAAATTACTCTCTTGACCCTTACGCTCATTGGATACACTGTGTCGCTGCTGGGCTTCAGCGTTTCAGAACTCAGGGGGTTCTGGTTCTCTCTTTTTATTTTATTTTATTTTATTAATTTTTTAAATTATTTATTTATGATAGTCATACACAGAGAGAGAGAGGCAGAGACATAGGCAGAGGGAGAAGCAGGCTCCATGCACCGGGAGCCCGACGTGGGATTTGATCCCGGATCTCCAGGATCGCGCCCTGGGCCAAAGGCAGGCGCCAAACTGCTGTGCCACCCAGGGATCCTTGTTCTCTCTTTTAAAAGATGGATTTCTTTTTTTTTTTTTAAGATTTTATTTATTTATTCATGAGAGACACAGAAAGAGAGGCAGAGACACAGGCAGAGGGAGAAGCAGGCTCCATGTCGGGAGCCACGGGGGACTCGATCCCGGTTCCCCAGGGTCACGCCCTGGACAGAAGGGGGTGCTAAACCGCTGAGCCACCCGGGCTGCCCTAAAGATGGATTTCTAACCTAATCGCAGTGTAGCTAGCTAATGTCATCTGTGCGATACACATCCTTTGATATTGGCTCGGACTTTCTTTCTTTTTTTTAAGACTTACTAATTTATCTGAGAGAGAGCCAGCCCTGGCACGCGGAGGGAGAGGCAGAGGGAGAGAGAGACTCTCGAGCAGACTCCAAGCTGAGCGCAGAGCCAGTTGTGGCCCGATGTCACCGCCCTGAGATCGTGACCTGATCTGAAATCAAGAGTCAGGCACTTAACCAACTGCACCGCCCAGGCGCCCCTCAGACTTTTTTTTTTAAGATTTTATTTATTTGAGGAGAGAAAGAGAGCACGAGTGGGGGGTGGGGGCGGGGGCAGAGGGAGAAGCACGGTTCCCGCTGAGCAGGGAGCCCAACATGGGGCTCGAGCCCAGGACCCGGGATCATGAGCTGAGCCCAAGGCAGGCGCTTCACCCACGGAGCCCCCACGGGCTCCCACACTTTCTTTCTGACCTGATACATTTTTGTTAACGCTGCACGTTACTTGGCAAACCGTTTCCTAACAGTCGCGTGCGGAGTTCTCCGTGATCCTCCTCGCCCCCTCGTCACGTGTGCAAGCCCTCCCCATCCTCGTGGATTCCGTGTCCTGTGTCCATCAGTTCCTAGGAGAGGCGTGCGGGCGTCGCCAGGCGGCGGTGGCTCTGGCAGCTTCTCCTGTGCGGCCTTTCGTGTGGGCTGTTCCGTACCTGACACGATGCCACCTGTGTTTGCCGTCCTTCCGTCTTCCCGGGAACTGTTCCGTCACCCCTAAATGTGACCCTCCTCTTTCCCTGTGATGATTCTTTCTTTTTTCTTCCCTTTGATGATTCTTTTGTCCTGAAGCACAGCGGTCACGCAGGTACCGTTCTCCAGGCTTTCTTTGGGTTATCGTCGTGTCGGCTTTTGTTTTTTCCCTACCGTGTCCTTATGTTCAGGGAGTGACCCTTATAAAAAGCATACACGTGGCTTTTAAAAAACGTGTTGCTTTTGTTTCTGATGGAAACCCCTGTGTGAGTAGGATCGCATTTGGCCTCTGGTACTGAGGCACCCCTCCCCCGATGGCCCCCAAGTAGAAGTTTCTTTTTCCCACGCGCAGTGCAGAAAAAGGCCCCGCAGCACTTGACACTCGGTATGTGGCTCACTCACTCTACCTCCAGGCACCAGGCTCCCGTCCCAGGCAGGAAGGGAGAAGAGGGTGAAAAACCACAGGTCACCAGCCCAGCCTGTCCCGAGACTGTCCCACAGCTCCGTGTCGTGGCCGGGACGGCAAGGGAGCCTGCCCCGCTCTGATGCTCTGCTCCGTCGACCTGACTCTGGCCTCGTCCCCATCTGAGCTTCTCTGCCCTCCTGCCCCTAAGCAGCTGCACG